CCCCCCCGGGGGCCGGTCCTCCCGGGGGTACCGCTGCAGCCGGTGTCGGGCCCCCGCGCACAAGGAGTGTTTGGGGCGACTGGGGACCTGCGGCCGGGGCGGCGCCGGTGAGAGGCATCATGGGAGAGTGGGGCGTGGTGGGATGGGGCATGGAGCACCATGGCGTCGGGGAGCGGGGCACTGTGGGATACAATATGGCCGACGTTGGGGTTGGGAAGTAGAGGTGGTCCATGTGGAGCAAGGTTTTAATGGATAAGCCAGACCCAGGTGGAGCTGGGAATGATGGGACACCCTAACGAGGGCCACCCATCCCCTAATTAGGAGCCTAATTAGCACCAAGTGTAAAGGAGGGCAGGGGTTGAAGACCCCCAACTAATGAGCGTTTCTTCTCCCCCCCCACAGATGCAGGCTCTGGCATGAGGAAGGTAACGGCAGGATGGGTCAAAATGGGTTGAAATGCCCCGAATTTGGGAGAGGGGAGGTCCTGGAGGGGTGGGTGGGGGGGGGGGTCATCGTGTCCCTTCCCACCCCCCTGGGATTAATTGGGGTCTTGTTGCTCCTCAGAACAAGTCACAGCGGCCGGGCCCTGAGAAGAAGCGGGCGGACCTGGGTGAGGACAACGTGGGGGACGTGGACATCTGGGTCCTTGTGCTTGGGGGGTAGAGGGGGTGTCCATGCCCTTGATGCCTGGGTTCATCACCCCCCCACATCCACCCATCCCACCCACCCATCGTGTGTCCTCCTTCCAGGGTTGCCCAAGATGGAGGCAAGCCAGCCCTACAGCGGGGTTCCACCACCGCCGGGGGCACTGGGTCCTGCCCTACGCCTCAGCCCCGGGGACGTCGTGGAGGTCACCATAGCTGAGGCCGAGCAGCTCTGGTGGCAGGTGGGGACAGGGCCGCTGTGGTGGGGGTGGGGCCCTCATGGGCATACTGGGATGGGCCTCCGCTGTGGGGGCAGACCACCCTGGACATGCTGGGATGGACCTCTCCTATGGGGGCAGAGTGGTCATACTGGGATGGACCTCCACTATGGAGGCAGACCACCCTGGTCATGCTAGGATGGACCTCTGCTATGGAGACAAACCACTATGGCCATACTGGGATGGACCTCCACTACTCTGGTCATGCTGGGATGGACCTCTTATGGAGACAAACCACTATGGCCATACTGGGATGGACCTCCACTACTCTGGTCATGCTGGGATGGACCTCTTATGGAGACAAACCACTATGGCCATACTGGGATGGACCTCCACTACTCTGGTCATGCTGGGATGGACCTCTTATGGAGACAAACCACTATGGCCATACTGGCATGGACCTCCACTACCCTGGTCATACTGGGATAGATCTCTTTTATGGAGGTTAACCATTCTGGCCATGCTGGGATGGACCACCGCTATGGGGCCAGACCACCCTGGTCATGCTGGGATGGACCTCTCCTATGGGGGAAGACCCCTCTGGCCATACAGGGATGGACCTCTCTTATGGAGGCTAACCACTATGGCCATACTGGAATGGACCACCACTATGGGGGCAGACTGGCCATACTGGGATGGACCTCCACTACTCTGGTCATGCTGGAATAGACTCTCATGATGGGTTGGGACAAGACCCCCAGGTCCATGTTGGACCCCATGATGAGCTCAGACCATGAGGAGCTCTGGAGCCATAGTTGGGTTGGACCTCCACCATGGGGCTGGACCCCATGGCCATGCTGAACCCCACAATGGAGATGGGCCTGGACCCCTATGGCCAGGGGGGATCCCTGTGGTCCTTCCACCCTCCTGGGGAGCAGGGGGACCCCCATGGCCCCCCCCACCAGCTCCATCTTCCTTCATCCCCAGGGCAGGAACGTGGCCAACGGTGACCTGGGCTGGTTCCCTTGCGCCGCTGTGAGACCCTTCATCTGTGTGAGTACAGGGACCCCGAAATGTCCCCAAGGAGCCCCTGCACACACCCCCCCCCCCCAATGTGTCCTGGGATTGGGGGGGTGTGTGTGTCTGTGGGATATGGGGGGGGTCTCAGAGTAGTCATCTTCTGTCCCCCCCCGCCTTGACCCCCAACTCTGCTTTTCTCCCCCAGGTACCCCTGCCAGATCTCTCTGTCTACTCCTGGTCAGTGTTGGCCCCCCCCCCCATTGCCCCTGGGGCACCCCAAATCCTCCTCTGGGCTCCCATAGCCCCTGGGGACCTCTCCCAGGACCACATGAGTCACCTCCTTGGGTCCCCTCCCCTTCCCGAGGTCACCCCAAATCTCCCTGCGGGGTGATCCCATCCTTCCTGGGGTCACCCCAGAGCTCCCAGGGCCACCCAAATCCTTCCTGTGGTCCCCCATCCCTTCTGGGTCATCCCAAATCCTCCTCCAGAGGGACCCCATAGCCTCCATGCCCCCCCCAAATCCTCCCCAAACCCTTCACCCTTCCTGGGGCTCCTCAGATCTTCCCCCAGGACCCCCACAAATCCTTTCTCAGGGTCCCCCATCCCTCCTGGGCTCACCC